TTTATTTGGGGGAAAAGTAGTTTTAAAGAAGAATTATAGTCTGTCTTCTGAATGATAAAGCAGTTTAACTAGCATTAAACACAGCTGAAATTTTGTAATGACCAAACCTCGGCTCATCCAAATCCCCAATAGCATTAACTTACTAGAATTGGGCTGTAAATTTGATTAGCCTTACAGCAGACATGAGACACAAATGTTCTTCCTTATACAGTCATACTAAGTGGTTGCAAAAGAAAATGACAAGGTGGCACAGAGCAGCACATCCAACCTTTTCAAGCTAGGGACAAGCTCCAGCTCACCCAGCTTTCAAATCCACATAAATACAGGGCAATTTCATGAATTGTGATATAACATGAGGATTACATATGGTGAGGTGAGGAGGGATTTAGCAGCTGCAGTCTTCCTATAAATCATCCAGAAGCTTTTCTTCATAGTTTAAGTCTTTTGATTGACATTTTCCATGTAAACTACATCGCTGAACCATAGCTTCTGTCTTTGCCTGTATAATATGGTGCTTTTTTTATATATTTCCATTACTCATCCACTGTCCTCTAACATGAAATTTGATGCTGTAACTCCTGCTGTGTTAATATTTTACATTGAACCAATCAGAGTATGGAATAAAATTTTTTCTTTACACAAGTTAAAGCTTATAGAGGCATTCTACGGCAGATTTTTAGAAGTTAGAGTCTGGGACTAGGAGGAACAGTAAATTACAAAACTTTAAACGTCCAAAGAGTTGCAGCAGCTTCTCTGGCGGGCTGAGAGTGTGTGCCACAGCACAATTTCCTACAGTGGCTACACAGCCACTGCCACCCACAAACCTGCTCCCAGGTTCCAGTGCTGCCAAGTGCCATACACAGTCGCTCTGCCTCATCCTGGCTTCTGCAGCCACCGGCACCCTGAGGGCCGGGAAGCCCATACCTGCCCACACGGCAGGGAAGGAGTTGTGCACAGGGGGTGCCATCCCGGCTCGCAAGCCAGCCACCATGCATCTGGTGCACCAAGAGTACATTCCTCCTGCCAGGCCAGCAGTTCCATAGTTTTGCTGTTATTGTTGTTCATTTACTTTGGGTTTATTTTAATTTCTTTTACTAGGTTGTTCTGATAACACATTTCTGGCATAGCTTTATATTCCTGTCACCTGGTTTTGTTGTCTGTTGGACACAGTCCCATTTGGAGTCAAATTGTAAAATGAACCCTGTTTCAATGATGAATCATGCTACTTATTAAAAAAAAAAAAAAAAGATAAAACTCAAGCAGTTTGTTAGTTACAGAAACGAATTTCTAACATCAAGAATAAAACCACAGATATATACAAATGGAAAATAAGAAATAGTTTTTGGTAAAGAGAAATGGAAACATGGGAAAAATGCCCATATGAATTTTGAGATCCAGTATTCCTTTTTATGTCTTAATTAGATAGTTTATGCAGTGGTTGTTTTATAAATACATATTTGACCTTACTAATGGAGATTTCACAATACCCGTCAAACAGTGCAGCCTAGCTGAGAACCACATGATGCTCAGCCATGTGCTACATAGTTTAGGAGGTAAATGATAACTGCTGTTTTTCCCTTGATATTTTGTGAGATTTCTTCCTCATACTTGGTATTTTGTAGGACTTAGACACTATAACCAAGGCTCGTGCATGTTGAGAATTAAATCGTTTAATTGTTTTAATTAAGGTGCTTCAATTTATCTTGTAATCTTCATTTCATGGCCCATCCCAGTGAACTGTGTAACAACAGTAACTCATGACTCCTGAAGGGTTGAGAGATCTGTCTCCTTGGGCCTGCCAGCTGGCTGAAACTGCCCACACAGGTGCAGGAAGAATCCGTGGCATTTCTGGAGCTCACATACTGTCCTTAAATGCTGTGGCACAGATGCAGCATGCTGCATGGAATTGGCCAGTGTGCCACCGGTTGGGTGGCTCTGATCTGAAGTTTAAATTTCCCTCCTCACCATCTGTCCTGACTTCCCAAACAAAGCAGTTGTGCCTCCTGATGGCTTTATGCCTTCATGGGAACTGCTAAAATAAGCCAGCTCTTCAAACATCTATTGAAGTGTCCTTTTTAAAATCCTCATAAGTAACTACATGTAATGACAACACACCTTCAGACTGTCTGATAGAGATGTGAAATAGCGGGGCCTCAGTGTCAGTAACTATTTTTCTATTCCCTCAGTCTGTGGTCTCAAACAAGCAAGTGGCTTTGCCAAATTATAGGTTTGTTCTTTTATTCAATATTGTACCTAAAAAACTTTTAACCAAATTGAAAAAAACAATGTCTTTACTGTTATTACTGAGAGTACCTTTTAGTAGCATTTGCTTGGCAGCTGGCTGTGAGTGCAGATGTTCCCACTCATGCTACAGCAAGCAAGTGGTTTGCTTCCACAGACCTGCTTCATACAGGCAGACAACAATGGAAGGAGACGCTTGGGGGAACTACCCAAGATGACAGTTGATTCTCAGGTCACTCTGTGGGAATTTACACACCTACAATAAAAGCTTTGTAGACCTCAGACATCTTGCAGGCCATCACCTCCACTCTTTCCCCAACTGCCAAACAAAATACTGCAAAGACAAAGACTTGAACGTATGGATAAACAAACAGCCCAGTTCTCTACATTACTGGGCTTCAACAGATTTCCACACCTTCTTACCAAGAACTCCTCTCACTGATTCTCTCACCCTAAAAGAGAGGAGACACCTTCCCATGCTGTGAGGAAGTGAGAGGAAGAACCTGTACCTTCCAAAGCCTTCTAAATATGTATGTTGTTGAAATATTTCCTCCCAAAAGGAGATATACATGGAAACCCACACTAGGAAACAATTATAATTATCATCAAGGATTGGGGATGATGATGTGATCCTCAGTACCCTTGGAGTGTTATCAAAGAAATTGATTTACACCTCTCAATGTGAAAGACATGCTTTCGCAGAAACATTCATCCTGCACATAAAAAACCTTCAGATTTGAACAGGGTAAATCTTTACCACAGCACATCACTTTTCATGGAAGGCTTTGTAAAGATCTTAGACTCAGCACTTTAAATGTGCACTAAACCTCAAGAAGGACTTGCCACATTCCCAGATTATAATGTCCTGCAGCCCATCACAGCCAGATGCCTCAGAGGCCGAACACCACCTTTCCCAACAGTATGAAAACCAGGACATTCGTCAAATTTTACTTCAAGGATTCCTTTCAAGTTCAACTCTTAGGGTCCATTTCTCCAGGGGTCTCCGAAAGCGTTTCTTTACGCAGTGGCGTTGCATCCAAGGAGGGTGTGGGAATTCGCAGCAGTGCTGTCAGGCTGATCCCCAAACTAGTGTTACACTATGACAACGTTTCCCTGTGACTACTCCCTAATTTTTTTGTGAAGGAAATGTTGCCCTTTCCTATTGCCCAAGTTCCCTATTTACCCTACAGTGCTTCTGAAACCTTGTTCCAGCCATGGATATCTTTTCACTACTTAAATGCCCATATACTATTAGCCTCCTATTTGCACAGAACAAAATCCTTCTGGTAATCCCCTACGTAGTTTTTCCACCTTGGCCGAGGAGTTAAATGTGATATACTTTCTAGTCTACAACTTTTAAAATGAATCTTAGATCAGATATGCTTCTTGGACACTTATGAATGTAAAAATAGTCAAGTTCAGGCCTCGGTGACCTTCCCTGGTTATATTAGAATATTAAAAGTAAGCACATGCAGTAAGTGTTCACAGGACTGAGACTACAGGGACATAGTACACTGCAGTCACAGTGATAACTTGCCTTACTAATTTAGAAAGTGTAAACTTGACATTCAAATCACAGGCTCTTCCTGAAAGTGCAGGGTATGCATGCAAACCAAAAGATTTTTTTATTAGATATTATGTACTAATATTTGATGATGTTGTCAGTATGCCAATCAATTGATTTTTGGCTAAACCAACATATTTCTCCTATCATAAACTCCTATCATTAACAACCAAACAAAAAAAGCCCAGATTTACTCTGCTTTACAGAAGCAGAGTAACATCTGACGTCTTGTCCAAGGAGTTTCAGTGGTTAATAGTACAAGCACCCCACTCAGATTACAACTGTACCAGGGAAGCTATGAGTCATATTGTTCAATGGCACCATCTTCAGTCAACTACAAAGCTGATTATTACCTAGCTTTCAGAAGAAGTCATATTCCTCTGTCCTAAGTCAGGAAAAAGTGTGGTATCAGTGCCTCTGGACTTACATGGTACAATCTCAGAAAATTTACTGTTGCAGCAAAAATATTAAGTGTATGGGTTTCCCTCAAAAAAGGGAAAATCTCTATACATTTTGTCTGCTTTAAATTGAGAAAAGTATCTGAAAGAGAAAAATGTTGATTAAATGCAATCACTTATGGGAATGTCTTGACTTGGTTTGTTTTTCTTAGGGGACTGATTGGTTTTGATTAATTATTTGTGAAGTATTTGGAGATTCAGACCATATCATGCAGCATTCTGGCCATATGAATGCTCAGAAAGATCCCTTAAATTAAATAACAATTCCAAAGTTTGGAATTAACTTCTGTCACTTTGAAAATAGTACTTACTGCCTTAATTCCTTATATTTCTTTATGCTTTAAAACTAGAAGCGTTAAAAAAAATTGAACCTGATAATAGAATTAGAGCCCATCCTCTTCTTAGGTGAGAATATATATACTTGTGGGAATCTAATACCATAAATAAATTACATCATCTGAAAGTGAATTTTAGCTCAAAATGAAATTATCAGAACTTTTTTTTGTGAAGTATAATTTTAGAATATTGTTTCAGTTATATGTTTCACAGAAATGTATAGCTAATTGCAAGCCACCTTCTCCCCATCTTCCTTCCACGCTTTCAAAATTAGGCTAGCATATGTAGGCACCTTGTTCTTACAGTTTAACCTAAGAGAACTGAATGAATGTGGATCTAAAAATAGCTTTTTCATCCTTTCAAGGCTGATGCGTATTTCACACTTTGTGTTTCCTTTTCAGCTGACCCCCTGGTTGGAAGCATTGCCACTCAGTACATGACTAACAGAGCAGAGCACGACAGAATGGCCAGACAGTGGACCAAGCGATACGCCACATAGGAACCTACTCTAGGATTTGCTGGACCTGTGCAAGCACATTCACTAAGTGCATCAATAGCCCTCCCCTTCATTCTTATTTTTTATTAAATTTTGAACCATTTTGTGACAAAAGGTTGTCCTTACTTTCTTTTTTTGTTTTATTTTTATTTGTTCTGGGGTTTTTTGTTCTGTTAACTTGAAAGTTGTTTCCCTCAAATGTAGACAGGGAATTTTGGTTATCAGTGCAAAGAATGTTGGATCTGTAATAGTATAGAGCTTTATCACAAAGCTTTGTATTAATGTGTGGGATTGTTTTGTTTTTTTTCTTTCATGTGGTTTTGGGGAAAACAAAAAAATTCAGAATTATATCTCATTTCTACTTAAATGTAGTGTTTAGGGTTATTTTTTTGTACTGAAGTCTTTAATGGTGGGTGCATGCTACTGGGAACAAGTTTTGTATAAAAGCTTAAAATCAAGAATCACTGTGCATTACTAAGACTGTGTTTATCACTAGCCTTCTGTTTCCCACACAAAAGGCTATTGCGTTGAACAAATTAATATGTATTTTGATTTACTTAAAAAACAACAAAAAAAAGTGCTTGTAAATTTCTTAGGGACCTGCCACTTTTGACTGTGGATCAGTTGATGTACACTTGTATTATTAAAGCACTCAATAAAACACTGTGGCTGATAAATGCACTTCTTGCAAGACAGTGCTTTTGCCTTTGTGCAGTATAGGCTGTGCAGTCCTCACATAATACAACTGCAGGTTAAACAACTATTTTTAGACCTGAACTATTCACTTCTTCTCAACAATGCATTTCTTAACTCAGAATTCATTGTGTATATCTGTCACATACAAACATTTTCCAAATGTTAAGGCCTTTCTTTCACGTGCCTATGCTCAGCCTTGCTATTCAGAAGCCTCATGCTACATCTTTTATACTATGGCTTCACTTTATCCATCTTGTTACATTTAAAATAGTTGGCTATAAAAATAGCCTTGCAGTGAAAGCAGAATACTGATGTTGATTTTATACAGCAGGCCTCATTTTGCCTTTCTCCAAGCTCTTTGACTGTAAAAGCTACTGTTATTTAAAAAAATAAATGAAGGTTTTCGATGGGAAAATTGAGCCCATTGCTCCAATCATTCCCAGCACGTTCAATAGTAAGGGTATTTCTATTCAGATTTGACCTTCAGGCTAAATTTAGATATGCAGCCATGGAAGGAAAACTTGTACTTGGCTAAGGAAATGTGTGGGTGTTGTGATTTAGAAAATATATACTGTGATGCTGATAGCTAAATGTTCTTTGTGTTCCAAGGCATATTGGAAAATCCCTGTCTCGTATAATTAAATGTTACAGATGCTTTATACAGTGCTTGCCTGCCCTCTCCCCTCTCTCCTTACCTCTTATGTTTAAAGAAGATCTTATCTTTAAAAAGATACATTACAACAGGGTCAGTATAAACATACAGGGAGACCCAATCCCATTATACTCCAACCCAGTTCAACTGTCATGAAAACTAAAGCAGTCAAGGTGACACCATAGGGCCTCTACACCCACCACTGCACTGCTCAGCATTTCAAGGTTCTTTTGTTTTTCTCTTGGCCATTTGCTAACGAACTGAACAGACATTCAACTTCAGTCCACTGGTGAGTTGTCCTCTGCATGAAGAAAAACTGAACGTTGATGTTGTTGTAGGTGGTCTGATAACTACCACCCCAAGAACCACAAGGCTGTCAAAGAAACAATCAGATTCTCTTGATAAGAGCAAACAGAGAATCTTCTGGTGTTTGTAGAAGCCAACTGTTAACAAGCCCAGCCATACAACATTTTGAGGCCAACAGATCCTAAATACAGACATGAAAGAACAACGATATTTCAAAAATAAAACACAAAACCTAGACTTCTCTGAGCCAGAACCACCTTCTCAGGACAATACTGGTATATGTGCTTCACTTGTGAGTTGCCTCCACCATACAACTTGCCATGGAATACTCCAGATCTGAAGAGAACCTTCCTGCTGTAAAAGTACAACAAAGGGGTAAAAGGAATTAAAAAGAACAATGCATCCTGCTCTCTACAGTAATGGCATTGCTTATTCTCTTATCCCAGCTGCTGAAGAGATTCCTGCCATAAAAGACCTGTATCCCCTGAGACAGCAATTAATGGGCAATTTCAGATTTCTTATGAAATACTTTCAGAGTCTGTCACACTGCAACCTTTATTTACACTCAGCTGAGCACAATGCAGTGATTTCCCAGGTACATTTTAAGCCTACTTGATAAAGAAATCTTTCATTTCCATTATCCTGCTATTGTTTTTCTTTTGCCAAAATATAAAGAAGAGCCTATATTCTTCTCTAAAGAAGATGTAACTGAAAGATAGCTGAGATACCTTGGAGGGGGAATCACGGAATTCTCAATAAATATCTATTCTTGGATCATCAGCTCTCACTTGCTTTTCTTACCAATTAAAAGCTGTGCAGTTTGAATTTGCTGGTAAGTTGCCCTCTGTGTGAATCTGTACAGTCACATTGTCCTAGGTAATATGAAACTACTGCCTTAATAACCATGGGGATCCCAAAGAAATAATCAGAAAGGATCAACCTACGCTGATTAAAGCAGATGCAGAGTCTTCTGGCATCTGCAGGAACCAAATGTTTGAAAGTCTGGCCATAAAACATTCTCCTCTATTTGCAAATCTGCTCTATTTGCCTCCCAAGTAATTCCTTTTCTTCATGGGCTAAACCTGGGATATATGAAGCATTATTTGAAACCTGCTGCTGTTGCTTAGAAGAAATGATCCATCCGCAACACAATTCAGTCTGCCAGTAGAGGCACAGTGAACCATAATGCATTGGCATGGTCTCTTTTTCTCCTTTTTTTTCTCCTGCATCTAGAAAATAGTGCACATTATTCTAGCTCCCCTTTGCTCTTCAGATCCTCTCCAAATTTAACTGATTCCTGCTTCCTCTTTTATGATAAATCATCTTTCTAATTTCTTCTAGCTGGTGAAATCCACATGCTGCCCTCATACAATTGGGTACAAAGATAATTCAAATGACTTGCACATATTAAAACATTCAAGAGCATACAGTTGTCCTAAAACCACATATAAAGGCCACCAATTGAGCAAATCTCAGTATTTTTCCAGACACACAAATGCTAAAACTGGGGTTTGTTTTATAAAGGCATCTTACATCTGTTGTGAATTCAATTGCAATATCAAGTAAACAATATTTAATTTCCAGTAACCCCTGCTAAATGTCACTGTCCCATACCCTCTGAGTACAACTCAGATGAAGCAAAAAATCAGGGAACTCTCCAAACTGTATTCACCCATTCATGGATTACTGAAGTGGCCTTCGCATCCCACTGCCCAAGTGACCAGCTGATTTCCCTCTTTAGGAAATTGCAGAACAACAATGCTTAAATCAAGGTACCTAAAACCATCCTGTATTTTCAGAGACAGCATTTTCCAGCTGCTCCAGGAGTGAGCAGGGCCATAACCCTTTTGATTGCATGCATTGTGGGTGATTGCAGCCAAACAGTTAAATTTCATTACAACCAGCTGCTGTGCCGTGAATAAGGCAGGAGTAATTCCTCTTGAAAGATCTTTGTTCAGGTTTTCATATTGTGAGCTGCAGATGGATACACAGTCATATCCTATGCCCAAGTGATGGGCAGCAGCTCAGAGCCCTTCTTTCTTGCTATCCTATGCAATGATAGCTTGTGACTGTGGAACACCAGAGCAGTTGGGGGACCCATAAACCCCAAAATTGGATTCCTCTTCAAAACACTCTCAACCTTTTAAATTCTGTCTTGACATGTACTCTGGGTGCTTTGCATGCTCTAAACACTCTTTCAGCATGATGGTACAGTGTGCTTTAATCCTTGCAACTTATTCCTCCTCACTCACCCATTCCTTTCTTCTTCTTGACTGATTTATTACTCACAGCTGAGACCACACAAGCCAGTTCAAATGGCTCTTCCAGAAGTTACCTGAGCATAGTAACCCTTGTCCCCCAAAGTGTCCCCAGGCCCCTCTCTGCTCCCCCTTGCCTCAGGCAATGCCTATTAGAACAGGGAAAGCAGATGTGTGTCCAGTGCACTAGGAAGATGCCTTCAGACAGTGCAGCATCTCCTAGTTACTCCAACTCCAGTGTTAACCTGGGGTCCCTTTTCTCCTTTCCAGTTCTCAGAGACTTCTCTTGTCTCTGAAGATGGACATCTTACCCCAGGCCCAACGTGCCTGCCTGCATTTTGAGTTGGGCAAACTGTAGCAAAGGCTCAGTGAAAATTCTGGCACCTCCAAGGTTCAAATGTCCAGCTTTGGCAGCCACGATTCCTGCAGAGCCAGTTCTGCCTGCTGGTTTTCCATCCTCAGTTGGTCTTTCTTCTCTTCAGCTTTTCATTCCCTTTCATTTCTCCTCCGGTCCTTTCCTTCATGACATCAATGCTGTGTCTTGATGCTTCCTTCTCCCTGCTTCCCTCACCTCAGTCACAGCTCTGTTCATGGTCATGAGGACACCACATCACTAACACTGGGCTTCCCAGAATTGCTTGAAATCCCCTAATTTTTAGGTCTTAGAAGCAAGGAAGAGCTTTGTGTGAATTAAGTACTTCCTCATTGTGCCATGCCTGGCACTGGCTATAAACTAAATCACTTCTCCCACACACATCATTAGCAGTAATGAAATCCGGGCTGGCCTCCTTAGCATTGCATCCATATGCAAATGAATTTCCTCAGCTCAAACGATCTATACAGCCAATGCCTGACTGCTTGGGATGCCTCCAGCAGCCTCTGTCGGGTCACAACTGGAATATGTTTGGGGACTACTGTTTACCAGGAAAAGATTTATGATACCTTTAAATCCATCATTCTGCACCCTAATTCCATCGTGAACTTTGATAGGTACTTGCAGCACTCTAGGATAATGAAAAGGGCAAAGCAAAACATCCCTTTCATGTCTACTTTGATTGTGAAAGAAAGTAGTCATGAACTAATGGAAGGTTGAAACAAAGACAAGGTTACTAAGACATCCTAATCCTTTGCCAGTCCTAAATTAGAAAAATCCCACTTCACGTAACAGCTAAATAAAAGATGTATTTACTTCCATAGACCTTGCAGAACAAATTCCAAAAAACTCACTATCCAGATGTCCCAATAGTAAATGTGGATGATCAGATCATGCATTTCAGGAGAAGGAAATGCATCCACTCGGAAGAGCTTTCCAACACCCTCATCTCCTCACCTCTGTCAGGCTGCATGCAGGACTGCCTCCTTGACAGTCCCTTGGGAAACAAGGGCTGGAAACAAGAACCTCGGGTCATTCCTTATTGTCACTGCTCCTCAAATACACTCACTCACAACAGGCATTTGTTGCTGCAGAATCAGTGCTGGGGTCCCCTTTTGTGTCGCTCAGGACCTTGGGGTCAGGAAAAACAAAGGGTCACACTTCAGTTTCTGTGAAATGCCTCCTTTCTTTGCAGTTGACTCATACCCTTTGTAAGGCCCTGAATGGAGCCTCTTACATGAATGGGGCTCCTACCACACAGATTTCAATACAGCCCTGCTTCTTTCTTCACTTGTCATAAACCTGGCAAAGAAAGGACTTTGCTCATCACACTTTGGAAACACCTTGCTTATAGCACAGCTTAACTGTGCACTTGCCCATCTTTAAACTCTTCCAT